CCCCAAAACCCCAAAACCCCAAAACCCCGTGGAGATTAGAGTCCATTGAAATTAAGCTAAATTAAGGTCTTAATAAAATTCAAAAGGAGCCCAATGGATCAGCTCTGGATTAACAGGATGACCTGGATTCCCAGCCTTCTTTATAAGAGTTTTCAGCAACCTCTTTGGCGTTACTAAGAAATGATCTCCTTGTTGATATCTTAATATTTTGAAGGACTCAAAAAGCTTGATTATGTCTGACTGCAAAATGCCTGTTTGTTGTGAGATATCACTGACAGAAATCTCTTCTCCAGAGAAGTGTTTGAGGAAGGTAAGGAGCTTGAAAGTCCACCATGAGATATAAGTCCTGTGTCCAAGATCCGACAGCGGTGTCTCTGGAGTTCCTTGCCTTCCCTCAAGTATTCCCAACTCGTAGCTAAATGAGATGAGGAACTTTCCGTATCCCTTTCTCTGATGGAAGGGAAAGACAAGGATGCATGACAAGTTGTTGTAGTTTCTCTCCTTTTCGAATTTCTCTGGCGAAAAGCTGTCTGTATCGGTTGGCTTCGAGAAATCTTTCTCTTTTGAAAAGTACCCAGCTATTTGATACCCTTCATCATTGTATTCTCAGAGGCAGTAGAACAGAAATGGTGAAAGCTCATAACTCAAGTTTTTGTGATCAAGGAAAAGTTTGGAGACAAGCGAGAGATTCTCTCAGTAGATCGGTTCTTTGGCGCCGTCTACTTCGAAGACAGATACTTTATCATCTCGGTAGATCTCATGTCCTGGAGGGTAGCGAGAGTCACATCTTTGGGAATGTCTCTCCATATCTTCGTCTCACTGGAAGTAGCTCAAGCAGTAATGGCAGATGAACAAGCAGTCAAGTTTGTGGTATTCTTCAGGATAAGGCGAGAAATACCATGCTTCTCACTTATGGGTTCCAATTTGGACCCACTCGATGGTACGAAACATGGTTGATTGCTCATGAGCTTTGATACTTTTGTCATCCATGCCTGCGTCTTCATCATTCGGGAGGAACTCTTCCTCCTGATCTTGCTGGGTCTGGATGTCTCTTCTCATGATTTGTTGGCGGTTTACCTCTTCAGAATCCTATAACGGATGAGATGGGTTTGCTTACTCAGTAAATCAACTTGTGGGGCACCCATTTGTCATTTCGCCTATTGTAGCCTTCAAAATGGACATAATACTCAAGATCTTCTCCTTCCTTGGCTGATTCAGAGAAGTCCTCGATAACTCTACAGGAGATGATCTTGGCCAGCTGATAGACATCGTTGTTCAAAGGTGCAAAGATCAGGTCACCTTCTTGGTAAGCATCATGCCTAATCTCTAAATTAAGTGTGCTTGAGTAGTGTTTCTTGATGGTATTCTTGAAATTAATATGCTTCAGGAACTTTATGAGTGAATTTCCAGTTGAGTTTTGCGCCATTAGAGCCAGATACTTATCGTTTCACTAACTTCGCCTAATAAGACTCTACTTGATGTGTGAAATACCAAAGCTGCATCTCGATTCGTTTTCAATATCCTGCTTAAATATTGGGGTTTTGGGGTTTTGGGGTTTTGGGGTTTTGGGG